AATTTCAAGTGTTGTAAACCTCCACCTAAATCAATTTCAAAGCATGACACAGTAGCAGTTCAGTTGTTTATCTCAAAATTATTAGAATTTTTAAAGTTGCAAATAACAGTCCAAAAGTGTATTTTTATGTCAGATGGAGCAGCATCACAATACAAAAACATAAAAAGTTTTGCTAGCCTTTGTGGATTTAAAGATAAGCATAATGTAGAAATTGAATGGCATTTTTTGCAACTTCACACGGCAAAGGTTCTTGAGATGCGATTGGCGGTACCCTTAAGAGAATGGCAACCAGAGCAAGTTTAGCTAAGCAACACGAGCACCCTATAACGAACCCTTAACAACTGTACGACTGGGCAAATAGTCGTAAAGAAGATCTTCAAACAAAAATGTCATTTTGTTATGTTTCTACGGAAGAATACAAAAAGGCTGACACGGAATTTGATCCAATTTTTAAGAAAGTGAAACCAATTCCTGGAACTCGAAAATATCATTGCTATATTCCAGTTTCAAACAACCAAATTGCAGTAAAAATATTCTCTAATTCAAACGATACACCCAAATTATTCAATGTATTCAAATAATATGAGTTGTAAAATAAAATAATAAATATATACTGTTTTTTATCTCAACAAATCTTTCATTTGACCACATCAACGTGCTTCTCTTCCGCTGCCTCTAGATAGAAACGGGTAGGTCTGACAGCTACTATATCTGAGAATGAATTGTTTGTTTTTTAATATACAATCATGAAATAAAATCTCGTTGCTGGACATCTCGACGAACATTTGAAAATGGCCTAAAATGTTGAAAATTGTTATAATTATATTTTTTTAATTTGCATTAACTTGAGAACGGCTGGACTTAGGAAAAAAGTTTTCATATGCAAAGTTATCGAAAATTATGCGTAAAATCCAAATAAATTGTTAGTTTTCAAAAAAATATGCATTTTCATCAACTTATAAAAATCAACAAAAATTTAAAAAATTATAGATTTCTTTTTAAGGAAGTTACCAGCATACACTTTTCACGAAATTCAAGGGTATTCCATCAACTTTCTTGAAAAAAAAAATTATAAAGATCGAAGGGGGGGTGTTTTGAGATAATCATGGTTTTACGTTTTTTAAATACTAATTTACGAAGTTTTTTCTTTCAGTGTATTTTTTCCGCAAAGATAATTTAATTACCTAAAACTTCTTCTCATATGCCGTTTTGATCAGATCAATAGTTTTCAAGTTATGATTTTTTGAATAAAAAATAATCAATTTTTTTATACGCCCTTTTCAAAAGTTACTCTGGAGGAAAAAATCATATTTAAATGAAAAATGCAACCATTAGTAGCAGCGAACACGTGAGCAATGTTTCATTCAAATCAGAAGGGGTCGAGACAAAATTGACATTTTTTTTAACGATTTGAGCTAGAAATGCTCATAGAGTTTTCTAGTTAACGTTATAGGAAAGCATGATTCACGCTAATTGTGCTCGTCAATTCGAAACAACTAAATCATTTTTCAATTGTCCATTGCGGGAAAGTAAGAATGGTTTTGAAGGCATTACATTTGTTGCCACCTTGCCGCATTTAATGTTACTTGGTTGGGGCTTAAATATGTTATGGATCACGAGCGTTGTCAGTTTCGCGGCGGCGCCGACTGGGATTGAACCCAGGCCTGCTGGGGTAAGAAGTAATCACGCTTACCACTACACCACCGGCGCCGCTGAAATTTAAAAATGAACGTATAAGCGTGTTGAGACAGTGAAATATAAATCAGTTTCTTGTATATTTTCAATTAATTAAAAATCGGGTAATTAGAAATTGGCAAATGTATTGATGCATTTTACAAGGCGTATAAGTAAGAGTGGTCATAGTGTGTGTTAGATTCAACTTGATAAGTATCAAACTTTTAAAAGTGCTTCTTTTTCATTAAGACTGGTTGAATTTTTTTCAAACGGGTTTACAAAGCGCTTTCTAGTTTAGGTATAGAGTTAAAAAGAAATATACGTACGATACTCACCTTTCCACCGTCCCACTTTTCCGTGATGAACCATGTGAGATTGTCGGCTTGTGTGTCATAATATCCTAATTTGAAGTACTTCCCGTCAATCATCTGTTCAATTTGTGTTAAAGCTATACGATCACCTTGAGAGCTGAATGCCACCCATCCCTAAAAGGAGCAAAATAGAGCAGAAAAAGATTATATATATATAATGTATACAAATAATTTAAGGGGCGATAGAAGTAAATTTCTAATTTAAGTAAACTACATTTAAACACATTTTAGGGATAAATGTTTAGATGTGTTTTCCCACGGGTCCTTATTATTTAAAAAAAAATACGTAATAAAGTGTATGTTTTGTCTTACTAAAATATGCGCTCTACAACTCTCTATTTGAAACCAATTTTCTATCTTGTTTAGTTTTGTCGCAATTTTGTATTAAACACATCATGTTGGGTCGTTAATTAACGGTTGCGTAAAACACGAATTCAACCCCACCGTGCGTTGCTGTTGACGTCTGTTTGCAGCGCGCATAGCACACTTGATCGCCACGCGGAGTGACGACCCAACATGATGCGACGGCCCAACATGAGTTCTTCCCTATAAAAAAATATTAGACTCGTAGGGGAAATGGATTCACTTCCTCAACTTTGATGCTAGACGCCTTACAATGGTTGTCGGTGAAGTAAAGAATTGTATATTTGACTATGGTGTTCATTTTTAAAGTAGTTAACGGTTTGCTTCCTCGATATTTGTGTGATTGAATTGAAAGAGGAAGTGACTTTTATAGATATAATACTAGAAACGCGGCCGAAACAAGAACACCACATTTTTTGACTTGTGCTTCACAAAAATCATTATATTATAAAGGAATAAATGTTTTCAATCCGATGCCTAGACATATCAAACGTTCAGCAACACTTACAGAATTTAAAAGACACTGCATTTCACACGTTTAATCTGTCTTTTGAACAGTTATCCAGTGATTTTTTTTATGAATTGACAAATTATGTATCTTGACGAAGTTATAGATACATATTATCTCTACGGATTATTTTATATGGATAGCTGTCATAACGACTTTTTTTAATAATTAGTGTAGCACTGCAAAATCTATTTCTGTTCGCCTCGATGGTGATGATGGATTTTTAATATTTGATTCAAAAGTAGATTAATTAAAAAAAAAGTAATCTAAAACGGTTTGAGCCTCGCACGCGTATTACGAATATAGAGGACTGAATTTAACATTTGATAAAAATAAAATGCAATTTTGAAGCTTATTTGGAAGATACCTTGAGTTAGTAGTAAGTTATCTGGCAAATGTTGGGGGTTCGTGAGCATTCCTGACATAGCTGAAAATTATGATAGCATCAGATTGTGGGGTTATCAGTGTAATAGGATGATTTATTGATTGTTCATTAACTCTTGATTGCTTGTAATACTTATGAATATTTTAGGTGGACAAAGAGGCGAGCTGAGAGGTGGACGCCTAAGCTTTTCCACATTTTTATCGCTGTGAAGCAAGTGTAAACTCTAGAGGGAATTTATATCTGTAACTTAAACCAGTTCGATAATTATCTTAAAGATAAATCGTCCAGCTCAAACCTTTGTAAGGGTAAGAGGTGGGACCACCATCATCATCATAATTTGACTAATAAAAAAATTTAATGTCGGCCTAAATAGGCCCATACATAAATTCAGCAATCGACTAAATTTTCAATAGCGACCAAAAATATCCATTAGTACCGTCCTTAGAACTCGCTCATCGAGATATTTTTTTTTATAATCCATTTATTTGTAAAGGCTCAAATGTGGTAGCTTTGCTGAGCCAAATTAATTTAAATGTAATTTTTTATAATTTGTTTTACAACTAATGTTAGTAGAATGGGGGCCGAATACTCGCGGTTTACTCGAGATTAATAAATACATATATTTAGAGGATTGGAAGGAGACAAAGGGAAAGGGATATTCTGTACTTTATTTAACGTCGGTCTCTGTTCCGCAATCTAGTGCCAATCACCGACGGATACAGGGGGAACGACACTTCAGGATTATCCCATTTTTACCAAAATCTCTCATAAAATTTTCAACGTGCACAAAATTTAAATCCATCATATCTATTCTTTCTATTTCCAACTTATCCCTTCTGCATGCACACAAATTGTCAAGCAAGCCATGCAGTTTCTCGAAGTTTTCAGGTCGACCGCGAAGCACTCTGCCATACTCACTGTCAGTTTTCAACAATTTTCACAACAAACACATGCATGTCAGCTGGCTATGCCGGTTAAAAATCGGTGCGAAAACTTAAAAAAGATAACGGACCACTCGTCTAAAATCGGTCGCGGGACAACATCAAGTGCATCACGGAGAAGACGGCAACGCACATTCATTTCCCGGACTCAAACCGATCGAATTCGATGGATAAGAGCAGATGGAAAAGGAATTCAGGTCATTTTTCCAACCGGCCCAAGTTTTGCTCGTTGCTGCTGCTGGATTCGAAGAAGAAAGAGCTAATATGCGAGAATATTGTGAATCAAATTCCCGTCCAAATATAACTGGGAATATTAACCGGAACCTAGTGATCCATCGCCACCACCCGTTCCTCCTGCTGTGCAGTTTCGACCTATTTGGTACGGAACCGTTTTCTGCACTGGAGCTACACTCAAAAAATTCCACACGTCATCATCATGTGTCTCACACTTCATTTTGCGCTTATTGTGAAACACATCCATTTCATGTGTGAATCTTATGCTATGAACCTTGCCTGAACACTATGGATTTGAATTGTGACACACTTGGATTCTATGTGCCTCATATGGTGATATCAATAGCTTCGCACATCATAGTTCAATATTCTACAATATTCTACTTTATCGACTTCTACTTTACCGACTCTAATAATTAATCGACAAATATATAAACAATACTTCCAGAGGCCAGAGCTTTCACATATCTTTTTAATGGGTCTGATTTGGGATTCGATCATGGACTGTTGGGGTGTGCTGCTGCCGGAGTCTTCGTTCGATCTCACTGTGCCACGGTTGTTCTAATATATGAGGCGGGTTGATAGGATAAAGTCACAACTCTTGTTTTCGATGTTTACCTTTCTGAGCAAGCAATTCACATTGCATTGAAATGCGAAACACTTTAAATACATCTGTTTTGAACAGTAGTGTGATTCAATGTGCAATACACTTGAATAGATAGTGAAAGATTTTCAACATTTCAAAGTTTGAAACACCAGAAATTAACGTGTATAACACATTGAACCAAGGTGAAATACACTTAAAGTAAATGTGATTGTGCATTTAAAAAATCAAGGGTTTAAACCTTTCGATCAAACGTGTTGAATTTTTTGAGTGTATAATGTTGCTCGGTATCCATTAATTACGTTACGCTAAAAATCAATATTTTCGACCCCCCCCCCCCTTTAGAACAAAACGTTACACTGAAAATGATCCCCCTCTATTTATTACGTAACGCTCTAAAATACAAACCCCCCCTCCCCAGCCCGTCTCATTCAATTAATTTTTGATTCCAGTATGTCTTGTTTATTTCTAGGTAATTGTATTATCAATATTCAAAATAAAAACAAAAGATCAGTGTATTATCAGGTACCTGCTTTTCAAAAGTTTAAGCATAGCAAAAATCTCAAGACATAAAATTAAAACATATCCATTTTGCAAGCAAGATTTTGTGATGACATTTTTTGACCTGTATTTTCAAACTTTACATCAAGAAACAAAAAAAAAAAACAAAATGTTCTCGTTGTTACGGAACGGAAAGCTTTACTCCTCCTGCCCTATGTAATAATTCGTAACGATATAGGTGACCACCGCCCCCCCCTATAAGCGTCACGTAATTTATGGACGCTGCATTGCAGCAGATTTTTCTTCTTTTTACACCTTTTACACCTATCCTCTTCGCGTTCGGACTTGTATTCATCTGAAACTTTTTAACACCCCTCACATCACATCCATTCCCTGATCTATCCCATCTATTTTTTTCTATCCATGCTCTATTTTCGTCAACACGACACACTCAAAAAAATCCCATCAATTATGTTTTTCCCCGAACATCCCAAGTAATTACTAGACTGAAAAAATACATCCAAATGAGTGTCGTTCCCCCTGGACGGATATCGATTGCCATCTATTGACAGCAATCGAATGTGCAGAAAGGCAGCTTCCACACCTGCGTAGGATATCGCATCCATTCAACAACAACACATGGGCCGGGACCAACGGCTTTACTTTCCTTCCGAAGGAAGACGTGCCCAGAGATTTTTATGCCTCAGAAAATTCCCACCGACCTCGGCTGGGATTGAACCCAGATCCATTGGGGTATTAGAAAGCAGTCACGCTTACCACTACACCACCGGCGCCGGCGGAAAGGGATATTGGTAAATCTTCTTTCTGCTTCTTTCGACTGATGAGTGTCACTGCACTGTATTGGCGGGCATGTGCTGTGGATATCGAAGCATTGAAAGCACAGCTGAAATGATACAAGAGGGGACTTGGGTTGGGATAGTGATGAGAGAATTAAAACACAAAACACTACTACATACACAAATCAGCACCTTTTTTTAAAATACGAAAATTAATCTCATAACATCAAGATCACGGCAAGCCAGAACGTCTCTAATTGGTGTCGGGCCCTGAGGGATTCAATTAGTTCAGATCTTGCCACATGATGTGAGCTGCAGGACTAGATAACATGCTCGATGTCGTGATAGCTGTTTCTACAGGCACACAAACTGCTGTCTACAAGCCCTATGCGGTAGAGGTGTGCGTTTAACGAGTAGTGGTTGAACATGAGCCTGGACATTACCCGGATAAATCGCGATCCACATCCAATCCCTTGAACCAGGGTTTGATCGACACCTGTGGGAGGATCGAATTTAACCATCTTCCCAGTTCACCATCATTCCACTTTTGTTGCCAGTTGATGAGGACTTGCTAACGAGCAATTGTGAAAAATTCATTGTAGGCGATTTGTCGCTCGTAAATGTCGCCTTCCATAGTACCCACCTTAGCCAGCGAGTCTGCTTTCTCATTGCCTGGGATAGAGCAATAAGAAGAGACCCATACTAAGGTGATGATATGTGAGCTGTTTGATAAAGCACTCAGTGACGTTCAGGAAATACGTCGAGTGCTTCATCGGCCTCA